CTGGATGTTCACAGATCTGCTAGCCTAAAGTATGCAAAGAGGCAGAAACAATAAGAGAAACCCTGCTTCAATGAGGTGGAAAAAGAAAATTGACTTCCAAAGTCTCCTGATTTCCACATGCACATTATGGCACAGAGCACGCCTACACTCACACACACACACATCATACACATGTAAATAATAATAATAATAATAATAATAATAGTAATAATAATAAATAAGCTGGGTGTGATGGTACACACCTTTGATCCCAGTACTTAGGAGGCAGTGGCAGGTGGATCTCTGTGAGATTGAGGCCAGCCTGGTCTGTATAGTGAGTTCTGGGCCAGTTGGGGCTATAGGGAGACCTTGTCTCAAAAACAAACAAACAAACATAAATAAATAAATAAATAAATAAACAAATAAATGGAGGCTAGGTGTGGTGGTGCACACCTATAATTGCAGTATGCAGAGGCTAAGGCAGGAGAGTCTCAAGTTCAAGGATCAAGATCCTGTCTCAAAAGACCAAAATTTAAAAAATGAATAAATAGATAAATTTGTAGCAAGTATTGACATCAAAGATCACTCAAGAAAATGAAAAATGACAACTGTCTAAATAAATACAACTGAAGGATGCACAGTGCTAGAGCAGGAGGGCTAAGCCTGTGAAAGAGCCTGAGAAAACAGTGAGTGTCCAGGTCTGGAGAAAGCATGCAAGGGAGCAAAGGGGGAGGGGTGGCAGGGAAGAAGGGGATCACAAGCACAAGGCAAGTACAGAAGTCCCGGGGGAGGGGGAGGGGGATTGACCTGATACTAGATCCCCCCCCCACACACACACCAAGGTCAAGAGTATATGGCTAATGAATTCAGTTCCTCAGCTCAGAGTACAGGGAAGATACTCAGGTGAGGAGTGAAGTGATCGGATCTGCTCTGTACTTCAGATGCTGCAAGAGATGGACTGGAGGGTCACAGCAGACCCAAAGAGGCCCATCTGGAGCCACTGCTGTGACACAGAGAAAAGGCTACAACTAAGCTTGGAGTGGTGGCAGAAAGGTACAGGTGGCAGATTGAGATGTTCAGGTAAGAGCCACAGGGGGCAGTGGTGACAGGGGCAGGAAAGTGGTCAGCAGAAGAACAGGGTTGGGGTCATTCTGAGATAGCAATGCCTAGAAGAGGACCACCTCAGAGTGAAGTTGGAAGTTCAGTTTAGACATGATGAACATGAGGGGCTACAGCAGGCAAGCAGGCAGCTGGATACAGTGGTCAGGGGGCCAGAAGAGGCAGTAAAGATGTCACACAGGAAGATGAAGTTACTGGAGTCACAGGTGTTAGGACATCACCCAAGAGAATAGCCTGGGAAATCTCAACTCTTCTCTGTCTTTCACATGAAGACAGGTGGTTGACTGAGGAAGAGTGACCTCTGGAGGATTACAATGCAGCTGAGAAGTGGACATGGGGAGAGCACCTGTCTAGCACGGGTACAGCCTGGTTCCATTCCCAGTACTGCAAAAGAGAGAGAAAGATGGAGGGAGAAATGGAGAGCAAGGAGGAGGAAGAAGAGGAGGAGGATCAAGGGAGGAGGGGAAGAGGGAAGAGGAGGAAGAAGGGGGAAGAGGAAAGAAGGAAGAAGAGGAGGCAGAAGAAGAGGGGGAAGGATAAGAAGGGGGAGGAGAAGGAAGAGGGTGGAAGAAGAGGAGGAGACAGGGCAGCTGCAACTGTAGTGTCAAGAAAGAGTCGATTCCATGAATCCAGAGGGCACCTGCAGGAGCACAACTGAAATGAATACCTGTTCAGCGAATGAATACAGGGTGCAGCGTTCAAGGAAACACCACGACACAAGGAACATTCAAGAGAAGTGGGAATTATCTAAACAGCAGATGAGGCTAAGGCAGTAAAGGTGGGAGCACCTCCCAGTCCCCTCTAGATACCTCCGAAGTCATGGGGCTCTGCTGGAGCTCTGCCTCCCCTGGAGGCCTGTTTGGATGAAAACAAGCCACAACAATCTCTCGCTCCCCTCTTCCTTCACCTACGTGCACCTCTGGAGCATTAGTTTATGGTACTCGTGGGTTTCACAGAAGGGGTAAAACACAGCTGCTGTCTGAGCTGCTCATACCTCAAGGATGAGTGAGCAAACCAACCATCACACTGGGTGGCAAAGCTGTAGCCAGACCCCAAAAGAGGACAGGAAACATGGCAAGGAGTCAAATGGTACCTCTCAGGGTGATGAATCAGGTGGGTGAGGCATCAGTTAGCCACAGAAGGGAGACAAACTCAAGGGTGCACCTGAGGGTCAAAGGCAAGGCAAGTGCTTGGCATCTGGAGGGTGTGGTTGTTGCCAGAGCAGAGGGTGAACCTTGGGGAGCAGTGGGGAGTAAGGCTGGGCTGACAGGCGGAAGACAGGTTTGAAGAGCCTGTGAACACAAAGCTAGGAAATCTTAACTTGATCCTGCAGTTAACAGGAGCTCTAAAAGGGCACCAGAAAGAAGAGGGGCACAGCCAAATACTGGAGAATGCATGTAGAAATGGGTTGGGGTACCAGGGACCACAGGCAGGGAGGCCACCAATGTGTACCACTGCTAGTGATCTTTGCTAGAATAGGGTACGGCACCAGCCAGCAACCAGTGGACCAACAGTATCCTTTTCTTTGGACCCTCTCTTATGTTTCAATTTCCATTACCTTTCCTCATCAGTGTCTCAGCTGCCTTAGAAGACTCTAGGTGCCACAAGAACAGCTCATTTCTCAATTCCTAGTCCATAGTGAGGTGCCCAGCACACATGCTGAGGGATCCAGGCTTCCTGAGCTCTGATTCTAACCAACACACAGCTCTAAGCAGGCACTTGGTCTCATGAACCCCCAAGAGCAGTTTGGAGGAGGCTCCAGAGATCTGTCCAGTCTCTCAAGATATGTGGGGGAACAGGAGGAAGAAAAGTGTATGGAGGAAAGAAGTGGGTGCGTACTGAGCGCCTGCAATGCACTAGGCACCTGCTAGTGCTGAGTGTTTTATTCACATTAGCAATGTTTAGTCTTCACCGAATGGTGGAAAAAGCAGTTTTGTGGCATTTGACAAAAAACTCAGGCAAGGAAATGTTTCTCTGCTTTCTCCTGATCACAGCAGAGCCAGGTGACAACCTTGGGCATTGAGCCTAGATCGATTTAGAATGCCAGGTCAAGCAGAGCACCTGAGCATTGCAGGGATGGAGAGGCAGAGGGTACAGCGGCTTGGGTAACTTTCGTCTCATTTTCTTCAAACAGAAAATGCAAATACTGTGACACCCATTTCACAGAATTATTCTAAGAGTTCAAGTCTGTCAACGCCCCTTCTGAAGCCCTGCAGTGCTTTGCATATCATTTTGCTGGTGGAGTGGTGGTATGGTGGGGGGATGGCGGGGGGGGTGTCTATTTACTGCACTCATCCTGACCTCTGGTTGCTCTCAAACAGTCTTGCGTGCTGTCACAATCAGACCTCTCACTACACTGGATTTTAAGTTACTGGTGGCTTGGTCTATATTGCTGCTAATTTAACTACTGTTCTATGACATCACCTGGAAACGATGAGTTTAATAAAATTAAATCCTAGTTCCTTGAGACCTTTTGCTCTGCAAAAGAAAATGCTAATGTAGTTGATTTTAAAATGTACTTTTAAAAAGGCCACCTGGGCTGGGGGTAGAACTCTGTGACAGAGCATCTGTCATAACAAAGTCTTGGGCGTAATGCCCAGCACCAAACAAACAAATAAGATGTCCTGGGTTCAGGCTGAGGAATAACCAGCCATCAGTTAAGGATCTCTTTTTTCTCAACTCTGATATATTTTAATTCAAATTACTCCATCTGATTTCACAACCTCTTAATTTTTATGAATTTTTTCTTTTAATTCACAGCTTCCTACACAGCTACAAAAGCCTACTACATATCTGGTTTCTTTTAAAAATACTGTATTTATTATTTGTATTTTATGTATATAAGTGTTTTGCCTGCATGTATTTAAGTGTTGTGTAATGCCCAAGAAGGCCAGAAAAGGGGATCAGACCCCTGGAACTGGAGTTACGATGGTTGTTAGCTGCCACATGGGTGCTGGAAATGGAACTCTGGTCCTCTGGAAGAACAGCAAGTGTTAACACCCGAGCCATCTCTCTGGCCCCTGGTTTTTTTTTTTTTTTTTTTTTTTCTTTTAAGACATTTACAAGTACTCTTTTATTCATTCAAGAGAATTTTATTGAGGGCCTAGACAAGCACTAGACACTCCACAGTCGCACATCCATTCTATGTGGGTTCTGACCCCAAGAGCTTACAGTCTAACATGGTACAGAAAGGGCACTAGACCTGCGTATGAGGACCTGGGACTATGTGGAGGGAGTCCAGACAGGGAGGACTACACCCATGAGAACGCTCCATGGTAGAAGGAGAATTTCACTAAGGACAGAGAATGTCATAGGATGGCTCACAGCAAGATGGTATAACATGAGGAAAAAGAGACAGAAAAAGTTCTAGGTATGTCTGATTGGGTGAAGGTGATAGGGGTATTGGGGGGGAATAGGCAAGCTTAGCTAGAACAATGGTTTACAAGGAAGATGGTGGAGGATGAGGCACGAAGGTAGGGACCTGAAAGAAGACCCTGCTACGCTCAGTGAATGGCAGAGCAGTGAATGTGAGCAGTCTACAGTAGTGTTATGCAAGACGGAAGCTAGAAGACTGCAGGTGTCCAGGATGAGGCAAGCTGCAGAGGTGGTGCTGTGATGGACAGCCAGACATAGGCATGCAAAAGGGCAAGAGGACACTGCCAGTTCTTTCTTATTAGTAGGAAGAGGGGAATCCAAAAGACTGAGCTGTGAGAGAGCTAGGGGGACCCCAAAGGCAAACTGAACTGTAGATAGCAAGGTTGGAAGAGGACAGAGAAAATATTCTAGAACATTCTGCAGAGGGTTAAAGATACCTGAGTTTCAATTTTATAATAGTCTATTACAACATGAACTTCAGATTTTTCTTAACTGCATAATAAAATGATACTTAGAGTATCTCTGACCTTTGTCCTTTGACCTTGAAAGAAATCACTGTAGTGTTTAAGCAGGGACACCAGCACTGTGTTGTCATCGTACTTGATTAAGAAGTATGGTAGGGCTGTGACTCCTTCTTTCTGACACAGATCATCATACGCACGCTCCAGGGCCTGCATCTGTAAACAGTGACACTGAGGTGAGCCTCTAGGAGATGCTACAGCTCTGATTAGACGAAAGGAATCTTACAGCAGGAAGTCACTCACCCCTTACTCCTTAGCAGTAAAAAAACACAAGAGTCCCTAATGTAACCTCTCTATGGCACTACTTGTAGTGTGTCTCAGAGGCACAAAGGAACCTTTTCTGGTTCTGCATGGTGGTGGCCTAAGCTCTCAGTCACAGAGGTCTAGAGAGCATTCTTTCTCTGTGACAACCCAGCATGGGTTTCTTTCCATTGAGAAAATTGACAATTATTCTTAAAAAAAAGTTATGTGTATGTGTTGCCTTCATGTATGTAAGTGCACTGTGTGTGAAATGCCCATAGAGGTCAGAAGAGGGTGCTGGATCATCTGAAAACCGCAGTTATGGACAGCTGTAGCTGCCATTGCGGGTGCTGGGAACTGAACACTGGGTCCTCCAAAAAGCAGTCAGTACTCATAACCATTGAGCCATCTCTCCAGCCCCAGAGAAAATTGACCATGATCTTTTTTTTTTCAATGTGTATTTTTTATTGAATTGTTATGGATTTCATACAATATGTCAATCATATTTAGACCTCCACTGTTTGGACCCCACCCCCCACCCATAGCCCCCACAGAATTTAACACATTTTGTCTTATATGTTAAGGCCTGTTGAGTCAAGTTTGTGTACCCAGATGTCTCTCAGTGCAAGTTCATCCACTGGAACCTGTTCAGCCCATCTACCATCATTCTCTTAAAGAAGATTAACTCTCCCTCACCCAGCAGTGATCGGCTGCCCAATAGTTCCTCTGCTAAGATTGGTGTCTCCTGCTCATTTCCCAGTTCTATACTGGGTTTTGTCTGATTGAGTTTGCATGGATCTTGTACATGCTGTCACAACTGCTGTAAGTTCATACGAGCAAGTTCCCAGAAGCCTTTAAGGCTGTTTTCCTTATGGTCATGCACCACTCCTGGCTCTTACAATTTTTCTGTCCCCTCTTCTGCAATGGTCCCTGAACCCTGGGTTGGTGAGGTTTAATATAGGAGTCTTATCCAGGGACACACACTCTGCAGTCTCTTACTCTCTACACTCTGATCACTTGTGGCCTTACGTGTTTGTCATCCTCTGTTGCATGAGGAAGCTTTGTTGTTGAGACCATGATCTTTAATAGCTTTGTTCTGACAATTCACACACCTACAATTCCCCCATCTAAAAGACACAGTCTATGATTTTTTTTCTAGCATGTTTACAGGGTTGAGAAACTGTTGCTGAGATGATTTTAGAACATTTTTATCCTCCCTAAATATGAGAATTTCTCCATCTATACTGCCTTGTCCCAAGTTAGGTTTTTTTCTTAGGTGATCAGTTATATAAAACCACAACCTTTTATTTGTTCTAAAGAAACTTAATTTTGGAAAACCTTGAAAGCTTCAGAATTCAGCATATTAGTGACTGACATGCTTTGTGAACTAAGAGTATCTTGACCCTCAATCTCAGTCTTAATAACAATCAGAATTTTCCAATTTAGAGCTGTGCTCTGCCAGCCTGATCATCTTACTTCTTGGGACTAATGTCTAATGACCTCCTTGAAGTAGACAACTAACTCAGCCTGCCCCATTCCCCAAGATGAGGTTCTGCTACTTGGTAGAGGACAGGAGAGGCCCTGTGCTGTTGAGACTCTTCTCAAATGACATGGCTCTGCATCTTCCCATGTTGAAAATGAAAAGCCACATGCTGGTAACTTTTCACAGTTTTTCAAAATGTTCCTGTACTTCCTCCCTATAAGCTTAGCATTTCACCAAATTTCAGGGACTACCTGAAAAATCATCGCTCATTGTTCCTCACAATGACATTATAAACAGTAAACACTGTGCCCTAGACCACCTGGAGCTCCCACCCCCCAGCTGCCTCTTTTCCATCTTGGGATGTATTTGCTCATCTTTGGTGTGAGCCACAAGCCTCTCTCCCACAGAAGCTCAACTTTACCTGTATTTTGTCTTATTTGTTGATACCTGTTTTGATGAAAACCTTTGCTCCAAGCACACTGGCCCTCGAATGAGAGGGACACCCTCAGGAAGACAGAGGGCAGGGCAGCAAAACCAGTAGTAGAAGTGGTACTTCTTTAGGTCCTAGAAAGAAAACACATAAAACTGCATAGCAGAATTAAGCCAAAACACATCTATTAATGTAATACATTGGGCCAGGAGTTGTGGTGCATACATGTAATCACAGTACTGGAGAGGCTGAGGCAGAACTAGACATTTAAGGCCATCCTCAGCTATGTAGTAAATTTTAGGCCAGTCTGGACTACATGAGACCGTTTGAAAAATCACCACAAAAGAGTAATGCACTAAAAAGCTGATGCACACGAAATATGCCCATCTTGCTATTCTCATGTCTAACAGAGACCACAAGAGAATGCAGAATTTCTGCCTTGACCTCAGGACCTGTACACACTACACACGAGACTAATGAAGCTGAGTCCCACACCCTCATGCCCACTTCATATCCTGAAGAAAGCTGTGCAGTTTGTCCTTCCTTCCCCAAGTGCTTGGGATGTGAGGTATTTTTGCATTTTTCAGATTTCAGAGAATCTGCATATGCATAATGAGGTATCTGTGAACGGTACCCTATTCTGATACGAAATTCATTTGTGTATTATTTATACCTTAGCTCTGAAGCCCGAGTGCTTTATACAATATTTTCAGAACACCAGCATTTTAACTGTGGTCATCACATGAGGATTCTGGTGTGGGATTTTCCATTGTGTTACCCTGTCAACATTCAAAGTCCAAACTTGGAAACATTCTGGGGTTTCAGGTTTTCAGATTACAGATGCTGCTCTATTTAGTGTTGCTTTCTACAATGTCTTCCTGGTCAAGCATAAGTCAACAACTATTAAGCATTTGCTTTGTATAAGGCAAACTGTGAGACACTCAGATAATAGGAAGACTAAGCCTTGGTGCCAGCCATCAGGCAGCTCACCTTCCATATAGAGTGGAGATAAAGTGAGCCCCTGATTGACAGTGTGTTACAGAAGGCTCCAAGCACTGAGGTGCAGCAGCAACATCATCTCAGGAATAGCTGACCATTCGCACATGGGGCAGGGTACCCAGGGAAAGGGGTTCATGACGCTGTTCTCCACAAAACTCTCACTCAGCCCCACTCCTCTGAATTTTTTGGGACTGACTCTGTCATGAGGAGGACCCCAGAGCACTGTGGGTCCTGGCTAGTCTCTTCTCCAGTCTGTGACTAAGGGCTGCTAGTATATTTCTCCAGCCAAGGAAGCATCGCTTCTTGAATTTTGCTAAAGAATGAAGCTGCAGAGCTGCTAGATGACTGTTTTATTTATTTTTTTTAGTTTCTGTTTGTTTTGTGGGGTTTTTTGACATATGTACATGTGTATGGCATGCATGCACATATGCACGTTTGTGTGGCACGCACGTACGTGCATGTGTATGTGTGTGTGTGTGTGTGTGCGTAGGTCTGAGGTTGATGCTGTATGTGTGTGTGTGTGTGTGTGTGTGTAGCTCTGAGGTTGATGCTGGATGTTTTCCTTTTTCTACATTATATTGAGACATGATCTATCACTGAACCCAGCCCTCACTGATGAGGCTATTCTGGCTGGCCAGCTTCTCTAGGAAGCCTCCCACACCCTAGGATCACAGGTGGCCACCATGCCCACTTGGCTTTTACCTGGATTGAGGGGGCAGGGGGAGTCTGAACTCCAGTCTATGTGCTTGCTCCACAGGGCTTTACCCCTGAACCATTTCCTCAGCCCCTAGATAATACTTCTATTGAGACATAATTCACCTTACCTCAAACTTGCCATATTTACACATATAATTCAGTGGGGTTTGCTTTTTTAAATGTTTAAAATTTATTTATGTTAATTTTACATGTGCAAGTGTTGCCTGAATGTATATAAGTGCATCCATGCAATGCCTGTGGAGGCCAGAAGAGGGTGTTAGATCCCCTGGAATTGGAGCTATAGATAGTTGTGAGCTGCCATGTGAGTACTGAATCTGGGTCCTCTGTAAGAGCAGCCAGTGCTCTTAACTGCTGAGCATCTCTCCAGTTCTGGTTTTGCTTTTTGTTTTATGAATTTTTTGACACAGTTGGATCACTGATTACTGTTTCTAGAACATTTCTTTATACCAAGGAGAAACCCTGTACTGTCAGCAGAAGGGCCCCACCACACAGCCCTCTGGCAATACTAACCTATTATTTCTCTGTGAATGTGCTGGTTCCAGGTTTTTCGTAGCAATGGAGTCACTTGCTGACTTTTAATATACAAATGTATATATAAACAGTTCTAGGTGACAATTTCCATAGTCTCCATTAATTGATATGCTTAAAAAAAATCCCTAACACAATAGCAAAGCAAACTGAAAAATTGAAATTAATGAAGTGCCTGTCCCTTTGAGGCCTGAGGACACAGAGAGGAAAGCCGCAGCCCCGAGAGACACTGCCTGTTCTCTGTGCTTAAGTGATTTGTCAGAGCTGATCTTCAGCAAAAGGTTAACCAATTCAAGATGGAGTGCCTCACAGGAGTGAGCTAGAAGCCAAAGCTTTGAATTTCTTAGAGTTTTCTTTCAGGACACATAGGGCCTTGGGCAAATTAAACATAAAGTCCTTTGTGTCTGAAGATTTTAAAGGTGAGCTTTTTGACTTTTTTTTTTTTTTTGTATAGACTGGCTAAGAATACTTGGCAAAAGGACACCAGGGCTGACAACCCACTGACTCTAGAAAATTACTTAAAAGTCTAAGTAAGAGCTAATGTTATTTTCTCATTAAGATGAAATTGTCAATTAAAATTCTTGGTATAAAAAATGCTTGCAGAAAGACTCACTGTTTTTGCTACTAACACTGAGCTGTTGGCGTATGCATCTCTAATCTGTACGTATCTGATTATATTCTAAAATGAAATGGAGATCTTTTTTAAAGGTTAAAACCTCATTTATTTTTATGTCTTACAGGGTTTATACTGAGTATAATATTGTATAACTGTATTAATTTAACTGTGAACCTCAAAATTTACAGCCAATTTTCAAAGAGAAGCATCTTTGCTCTGGAAATTGTTATTAAATATGTTAATGCTGTAATGAAATGCTTCTAATCATGTGGTTATTAAATAATTAAAATCTACCTGATGACTTTATATCCATGCTCAGATGCCAAGGAGCTCAGAAAGTAAATGAACGTGACTAGTAATAATCAGATATATGGAGATCAGAAATGCAGGTGCAAAAATCTTAATGTCAATTGCATTAAAAATGAATTTTTCTATATGAAACTGTGTATTTTAATAATGAAATGGAGATCTTTTTTAAAGGTTAAAACCTCATTTAATTTTATATCTTATAGGGTTTATACTGAGTACAATATTGTGTAACTGTAATAATTCAATTGTAAACCTAAAAATTTACAGCCAATTTTGAAAGAGATGCATCTTAGCTCAGGAAATTGTTATTGAATGTCAATGCTGCTGTAATGAAATGCTTCTTCTAAGTATGTGGTTATTAAATAAATAAGTAAAACAATGAAAAAAATGGATTAATGCTTAATTAACAAGAATTTCTGGTATAAAAATGGACTTGTATTCAAGTAACAAACTCAGAAATCTTTAGCAATATTTAAATCTATCCTAGCATAGAACTTATAAAATTGGTCAATTACACAGACAAATGATGGAGGTCTAACTGCACCTAATCTGACCAAGGACTGGACCGCTTTTCACTGTCCACCATAATGAAGAATAGGAGACGATTCTGAATTAGGCATAGTCCGGGGAACACGCCCCAGACTAGATTCGGCTAAGCTCCAATTACTTTCACTCTCACCCAAGATTGCCCACTTCCAGGTTCTTGTTCAAAGTTGGTCCTTTTGGTGGGTTCCCCTGACTCCCACAGGAGGGCTCCCTCTGGTGAGAACGTCAAGCTTCCTGCCTTGCTTCACCTAATCAGGATCCTGTTGTTTTCATATGAATGAACCAACCAAAAACTGCCCTGTCCAATCCAAAGGGGGAAGCCCAGACCTGTCCCACCTTTCAGACTACAGAATATAAAAGGCCAGACTTTTCAGAGGGGCGACAGTGCTCCAGCTCTGAACCCCTTCCCTTGCAGAGAGTTTGTCTTTTTGCTGTGTGGAGTGTTGCTAATGCTTCAACAAACCTGCTGAGCCTGTTGGTGCACTGGGGAGGTGAAGGCAGGACAATCAGGAATTCAAGGGTAGCCTCAGCTACACAGAGAGTTAGAAGCCAGCCTGGGCTACATGAGACCCTGTCTAAAATACCAAAATGACCCCCCAACACACTGAACAGCAGAACTTCACATGACTGCACGTAGTGTGCTCCCAACACAGCTCTTACCTGGGCAAACCATCTCACACTAGGCCTCTAAGGTAAAGTATTGAATCTCCTGCGCTTTACTGAATACTGTACTAGGAGTGAAACGGGACGGTTTATGGCTATGCTTTTGCAAGTAGCAGAGCTCAAAAAAGATCCTACACTGAGGGGCCGGTAGCACAGAGGTAGAACACTTACCTAGCATGTATGAGGCTCCATGTTCAAGCTCCAACACCATACACAGAAATATCTTAAACTGAACCATCACACTAAGGAACCATCTACACGCACATTCCCACATCTGTGTGTGTGCATGCACATGTATGGCAACCCTTACCATTTCCCATCTTGCCCCTTACTGAGGTCAGGCCCTTCCCTCCCTCATACTGAATTAGCTGGTATACATAATTTCTTCTCCTCTTCAAGTCTGCCCTTCATATTTTTAAAAATTAAGTTATACACAGAAAACATTTTTATTTCTCTCTTAATAAACAGTCATGTCTTCAAGCCGTGTGATCCCTCTAATCTGGACACCCCTCCCTTAAACAGTGGCTGCTGCAGTTTGGATTGGACTGTCCCCAGAGGCACATGGGTTAAAAGCTTGGTCCTCAGACTGCAACACTACTGAGGAGTATTGGGACTTTAGGAGACAGAGCTAATAGAATATAATTATCCCACTGAGGGCATGCCATTAAAGGGGACACTGGGACCTGGTCTCTTCCTGACTCTCTTTGCTTTCCAGCAGCCATGAGGTAAGCAGCTTCTGCTTCAGACTCCCATCATGGCATTCTCCGAAACTTGAGGCCATGAACCACTATAAAATTCTCCTTCTTATAAGCTGATTATCACTATTTTGCCATAGTGATAGCAAACTGGGTGACACAATGGGCCTTGCAAGTGAGCTGGTTTTTTATGACAGAGTTTTGCTAGCTGGCCTGAAATTTACTATGTAGACCAGGCTGGTCTCAAAATTCCGGTGATCCTCCTGCCTCAGGCTTGTGAGTGCTGGGATCAGAGGTGTGTGCCTTCATACCTGGCTGTAAGTCTGTTTTTAACAAAGACATTAGTCAACAACAATGAAGCCACTGCTCTGTGAACAAGGCTTGTCCTGTCCTGAGTGACAGGAGTTGTCACCATGTGAGACAAGTCATGCAATAACTGCAGGGTGACCAGAAGGAATAGATTAAACTTGCACGAACAGGTGCCAGCACTATTGGCTACTCAGCAAACAGCTTCCTTAACTCACAGCAAACACTCCCAGGTAAGAGTTCCTGGAGAGAAAGCACAGCATCCTGTTGATCTAAGTGGCTGAGCTAGGAGCCAAGTCGGGAGCCGAGCCGGGGGCTGAGCCAGGGCTTCACAGTCTCCATGCAACAGGCACCCATTTACTTACCGCAAAGGTCAAGAGTAGGAATGTGTTGAGGAGCACGGGGTTTTCAAGAGCAGCGCCGGACTTGATGGAGTCCCAGATCTGTGAGAAGAAGGAAAGGCATTAAGTCGGGCTGCCAGCCTCTTTGGGAAGCCACTGCGGCTGAGAGGCACCGGCTTTTCTTCCCTTCTGGCCAAGTCCCTGCTCTTGGGCACTCAAGTGGCTCATTACCTCAATGCCTACTTCACACGGCCTGTCAGGCTCGCTCTGTCATTATCAGAGTTAGTGAGAACAGCGGCACCTTCCCTTGCTCAGCACGGAGAAGGCGACCCGGCACTCATGCCCTTGAGATGCCCATCAGCTAGGACTTACTGCTGTCTACTGGTGCCAGGTGTGGAGGGCTGCAGAAACAAGAGGCATGGGCCCTCCCTTGAGAAGCTTAGTCATAAATGCAGGTTCAGCTCCACAAAGGACTTCTGTCACAGAAGCAGGTAGAGAATTCCTGAGACTTAGCAGGGAGGGTGCTGAAGAAACCGGAGTTCTAAAATGAGGGGCTTGAACTGAACTACTACGGCTTTTGTTGTTGTTTTTGAGACAGGGTCTCACTATGTAGCCCTGGTTAGCTTGGAACTGGCTATGTAGACCAAACTGCCCTCAAACTCAAAGAAACTTGCTTCCCTCTGCTTTCTCAGTTCTGGGATTAAAGGCGCGAGCCACCACACCTGGCCATATAGTGTAGCTTTCTTAAAGCTCTATTTGGGGCCCTCTCGCCTTGAGAGATGAGGAAAGGGGACAAATGTCATGCTTCTGGACACATGTCTGAAGGTGAAAGCCAAACTGGTCCCTGCTGCAGAGCACAATATGCTTTTGTGGTTCAGTTGCTAGACTTTGTGTTGCAAATGGGGCCAAAGCAATCCTGGCAACAAGGATTCCCCAGGTCTATGGGTATGAGAGGGAAATAGAAAACAGTTCCTGCCACTGACACCACAACCTAAAGAAGAGGCTACATGGAAGAGCAGACCCCGCTTTCTGATAAGCCAGCAGTCGGAGCCCGGTCAAGGCGGAAGTAAGACCTGACCTAAGTTTCTGGAGACTCCTGGTTAGGGATACAGCCAAAATAGAGATAGCCAGGCCTGTCTAGCAGGAGCTGCGTCCATTGCAAGGGGAGTGGCCAACTTAAGACCCTTCTCCTATGGTTTGCCTACATTGTTATTATTTTTAGCATGGCTCCTGTAATTAGTTTTTTTGTGAAACTGACTCATAATAAGTGAAAGTATTTGGCAAGTACAGTATGGTAACTCGAGGCACACATACAATGGGCACATGTATACATACCACAGTAATTAGCTGGGGGGTTTTGTTTTCTGTTTTGTTTTTGGTAGGAATCCACGAATTCCTCTTCTAGTTACTCTGAGATATGCACTGTAAAAGAATCACTGCCCTGCAGGAAACTGGGACTTACTCCTCTTCTGTGTCTTGGTACCTCCTGTCCATCCTTCCTCTGGCCTCTAGTTCCCAGCCGCATCTGTCCTGCTCTCCCCTTCAGAGATCAACATGTTCCACTTCCCTGTGTGAGTGAGGCTCTGTGGTGTTTGTCTTTCTGTGCCTGGCTCATTTCACTAAATCTAATGTCTTCCTACTCTACCCCTGTTGTCACAAATGACAGGATTTTATTCTTTATGGCCAAGTAAGGGTCCACTACATATATACACCATGTTCCTGTATGGGTCATCCATTCAGGGTATCCTGGCTACTGTGAACAGGGCAGTGAGTGATACAGCAGGGTTCAGGTGTCCCTTCCACGTAGGGCTCTTGTTTCTTCTAGATTCACACCCACCAGTTGCACATGCAGGTTCTAGTCTTGGTTTTTGAGGAGTTTTCCAAAATGGTTGCACTAACGGACCTGCCCATCAATAGTGAGAAGATGCCATCTGTTTTCTTTTCTTTCTTTTGTTTTAAATTTTATTTATTATTTTTATTTTATGTGTACGCACGTATTATCTGCATGTAGGTAAGTACACCCATGTCATACAATGCCCGCGGAGATCCGAAGAGGCGTTGGATCCCCTGGGACTGGAGTTACGGACTGATGTTAGCTGCCATGTGGGTGCTGGGATTTGAACCCGGGTCTTCTGCAAGAACAGCCAGTGTTCTTAACCACTGAGCCATCTCTCCAGCCCCTGCCATCTGTTTTCTAAGACTGGTATGAAGACCCCACAAGTAAATGACTAGGCTGACAAAGACTGCCTCACCACCCCACCCCTGGAATTCTTCTCTACACGATGTGAAGAAGCAAAGCAAAGACATCCATGTAGAGAGTGTACCACGGCCTAGGAGAGAGAGGAGGAAGAGTGGTAGCAGGTGTCCTCAGTGGCCCTCTACCACTGAGGTCAGCAAGGCCACTGAGATCAGCAAGGACCAGGTCACAGGGGCTCACCAAACATCTGACACCAACTAGATTTAGGCCTGGCAATGCTGGAGGGCCCGTAAGGGCTCTGTGTAATAAGTGCTGGTGTGGACAGACAGCCAAGCCTCCCGGGAACACAAGGCACAGAGCACTCAGATGCATATGGCCATGGGAGCACAACTTTGAGGCCAGGCCATGCAAATGCTAACCTCATCTTCCACTTCAGCATAGTCCATGTCAGAGCCTAGCTGTCTTCCCCGCTCACTTGGAGGAGAGAGCTGGTCATATTCCCTCTGAGAAAGAAACCCAAACTCACCAGCATCTCTGAGTATCTCTTATGGACTATTCCTGTGACAGGCCTGAGTGCCTGACCAGAAACAGGAACCACAGGAACTTGAACTGAGCCATTGCATCTAATAGCTAACCTTGTTTGCTGATTGTTCCAGAAGGAGCTTCTTGTCTGCAGTCTTGAAAGCCTCTAGTGTGTTGGTGTTGTACAGTGTTCCCATGGCAGGGCAGCAGCGTGCAGGTGTCGGGGCAGCCCTAGGCATGAGAGAAACATGGTTACCTGGGCACAGCTGGGACCTCTGCCAACCATGGGATGAAAAGTGAACCCCAACATCAGTAAAGCACTAGAGAGCAGAGCCCCCATCCTCAGCTGTCAGCCCCCTATCCTTCTGCTGCCCCCAAATGAAACCATCTTTATTCCTTCCCATATTCAACTTGAGCGGGGAACTGACTGAGCCAGGAACTGCATCACGCTTGACTTCTAAATAACTGCTTTGTCTCTGACTCAAAACCTTAAGCAACTTGCCTGGGTCACACAATGCCAGGCAGAGTATAATCTGAAGTCATCACTAGTTTACTGAAGGTGCTGGCTCCAGCTCACAGGCTCAGAGCAGCTCCCATTTTCTTAGCTAAAAATTTACATGACACAAAGCACAATATCCCAGCACATCTTCAAGAACAGTACTCACAGGCACCCAGCTGGAAGACGCCAAGCTCCCAGAAGACAGGAACCAGTCTATTCACACAAGCTGGCCCACCTCAAATACAGCTCTGCATACAAGTGCTACTAAGCAAAGCCCAGGGTGTAGCCTGAGCCCCATGGACAGGATGCGGGGTGCCTGGGCTACTGTCAATCTATAGGACACCAGCCACCTGGGTCATACCTGCTACACTGCTGGTTAGCCTACACGGAGAAATCAAAATCAAAGGAGGGATCTATTCTGAACAAACTCAAACAAGGACATGTCTGCTGTCTCTGAAGTGATCAACCTAAGATACAGACAAAACGGATGCTAAAAGGAACTAGCCCTGTCCCTAGTGGCCTGATGTCATTGTTACTTGGGACTAATGCAGAAAAGGCAATGTCACTGATTACCCAGAGGATAGCACACAGTGTAAGAGACCCAGTGTCTTTCGGTGCCTTTCTGTATGTGCTGCACACAAGGGCTGAAGAGGCCCTGACAGAAAACATCTCAATCTAGGACAGGACAGGAGGGGCCCAGTGAGTACCAATGGCTCTTCCTAATGCCACCTGTAAGGCTTGAATGTCAAGTGCCAGGGGAGCTAAGTCCATGTTCAGAGCCTCCTCGGGGATCTGTGAGTCAGCACATCACAGGCTGCTTGTCACCATGAACTACTAAAGAGTATTCCTCACTGAGGAATGGGGTGGGGGGCATCAAAGACAATCTGGAGGAAAGAAAAATGACAGGAGCAAGCTCGGGCCAGGAAAGAACAGGGACACAGAGCCTCAGGTCAGCAGGCTCCACTTCAGACCAGCCTAGGAAATACTACACAGCCGAGGACTCCTCTTCCACATGCCAGAGGGGTGAGGGCCATCCCAGAGTCCTGCTCTGAGGGCAGAGAGCAATACCCAGGAACTCAGGCACTATCAGGACGGCTCTTGGCAACAGCAGCTACCAACCACATCTGACTAGTTTCCCATTGGGGAAGCGGCCAGACTAGTCAACAGCAGATGAGATAATAGAACAGTACGAGAGACTTGGGGACAGGAGACTTGAGTTCAGACCCACCTCCTGGCACTTAGGAGCTGTCTCCTACACTTCACTATGTAGGAAATATCTAGAATAGGCAAATTCCCAGAGGCAGAAGTGGAATCCTGGCTACCTCAGGAGGGATGGGAGGAGGGGATGGCGGGTAGAATTGCTAACAGAATCTGTTTAGAACAGGACAGTTTTCTGGAACTAGACAGTGTAATGCCTACACAACTCTATGAATATACTACAAAGCATGCACGTGCACATTTTAAAGGGGTGAATTTTAAGGTAGGTAGGTGAATAGACTTTCAATGAAACTACTGAGATGAATTAGTCACCTTCCCATGCACAGACCCTAAGTGAGCTTTCCCTGACTCCAATACCTGGTGCTGTAGCCTGGGTGCTTAGTGTCCCCAAAGGCCCCTGTGTTAAAGGCTTGGGTCCTCGAGGTGCCGCTAAGAGGGAGAGAAGCTCACTGGGGGTTGGGTCCTAGGTCACTAAGTCACTGCCCATGGGAGGTAGCTATCTGAGGACTCCCAGACAACTGTCAGAAAGTTGCTGTAAAAGCTTGCATATGGCCTGTCCCTTCTTACTTTTCAGTTCTATTAGAGATGTGACCTTTGACTTCCTGCACAGAGTCCCACTGGGATGTGCTGTCACCCGCTGCCCTCACCAGAGACCAAACAAATGGCTCATCACCTCAATCCCACTCTGGATATTGAACTTTTAGCATCTAAAAATATAAGCTAAAACAACCTTTTCTCTTTATAAAGTCAGCAGCCTCAGGTATTTTGTTATATTGATCCAAGGATGACAAATGATCTGGTAAAGAATGGATCTCACATTGGCCTTGTAAAGTCTGGTGTGCCTGGGAACATCACATCACAAGACTTGGCCTTCATATTAGTGTCATAGATGACTCAAAAAAGCACTGGGGCTCCTCTGTATGATCTATTGCTGGATGGCTAAGTAGGCAGGTGGCCAGAAACAGTAAATCCTCTAGAAGAGGTTGCTTTCCATACCAGGAGTATTTACTCCACATGCAGAGCTCCACAGGCCTAGGGAGGCTTTGCTCCACATATATGCAGCTGCATAGGCCTTTAGAGACCTCAGAGAACCTAAGAACCCATATTGAGCCTTGGGGTATCTGTCCTAGCTCCCCTTTTCCCTCAAATCTCCAAGTTTCTATATATAGCATCCTCTAAGAGTCCATTGGCCTTTTCTACAAACCTCACCACATCCCATTTTGGAGAATACACCAGCCCTGTATTCAGTGCTGGTGCTGTAGCAGAGACTTCTGCCCCTCTGTCCTGTACATGCCTGTGCACCATTGCACCTTCCTTAGCCCCTGCACACACCTATACACCCACCACCATCCTTAGCCCCTGCACACACCTGTGCACCCCCTCACCTTCCTTAGCCCCTGCACACACCTGTGCCCCACCTTCCTTAGCCCCTGGACATACATGTGCCCCCACACCTTCCTTAGCTCCTGCACACACGTGTGTGCCCCCACACCTTCCTTAGCCCCTGCACACGTGTGTGCCCCCACACCTTCCTTAGCCCCTGAACACATGTGTGTGCCCCCACATCTTCCTTAGCCCCTGCACACGTGTGTGCCCCCACACCTTCCTTAGCCCCTGCACACACGTGTGTGCACCCTCACCTTCCTTAGCCCCTGCACACACGTGTGTGCCCCCTCACCTTCCTTAGCCCCTGCACATACGTGTGCCCCCTCACCTTCCTTAGCTCCTGCACACGTGTGTGCCTCCCACCTTCCTTAGCCCCTGCACACACGTGTGTGCCCCCCACCTTCCTTAGCCCCTGCACACACGTGTGTGCCCCCCACCTTCCTTAGCCCCTGCACACACGTGTGTGCCCCCCACCTTCCTTAGCCCCTGCACACACGTGTGTGCCCCATCACCTTCCTTAGCCCCTGCACACATGTGTGTGCCCCCTCACCTTCCTTAGCTGCTCTCATGTTCCTTGGGGGCCAGGGGAGGGCTACTCTTTCTCCAAGTTCAGCCTGAGGCTTAGAAAAGGACATTATTTATAAGGACTAAAGACAGTTCTCCAGGGACACAGGCCCAGGGACAGTCTGTAGTCACATGCTCATCACTGTAAACTTTTCTTTAGCCTTTTCCATGTTGCTGCAGAGGCTGGCCACCAAAATTTGCCTTCCTCTCAACAGGAACCAAACACCCACATGAAGCTTATAGCTTAGCCCCAGGTAATGTGCTAGCTCTGTAACTCAGCTTGGCCTGAAACCTCTGGTCCCTACTCAGTCTTCTGAAGGCTGGGATGATAGCAGAACCTGTACTCCTGGCTTTCTTGCCTCAAAAGGTGAGGCCACAGCATTCCAGGCACAATCGGAGTGACGCATGTCTGCCGCCCCATATCAGGGCCTGGCTGTCACCTGTCTTCGCTGATTCTTTCTCTACCTGGTGTTGTGTGTGTGAGTGTATGTAGCTGATCAGTGAGCTCTGGAGAATCTGTCTTTCTCTGTACCCCCAAAGCAGGGATTACAGGCACACTCTACCTCGCCTAGCTTTTATGTGGGCACTGGAGAGCCAAACACAGGTCCTCACACTTACAAGGCAAATACTTCACTGACGGAGCTATCACCCCAGTCTCTCATCTGTGGACTGTTACCTAAAGTGACAGCTCAGACACTGATACCCAGCCAAGACATGAAGACAGGGCTGGAGAGATGGCTTGGTGGTTAAGAGCACTGACTGCTCTTGTAGAGGACCCAGGTTCGATTCCCAGCATCCACATGGCAGCTAACAACCATCTGTAACTCCAGTTACAGGGGATCCAACGCCTGAACTCTACACACATTGTACCTCATGGGGACACTTACACACATGCAGGCAATACACTCATACACATAAAATAAAAATAATAAAAACCAAAACCAAAACAAAAGATGTGAAGACAAAGCCCTTAGGGATGACAAAGCCAAGAGATAGAAGACCCAACCCCAGCCCTGGATGGTTAAGTGAGCAAAAAGACTCAGTGCCTCAGTGACTGACTGACTGACTGACTGACTGACTGACCCCTTGCAGAGAGGGAGGCATAAAGTAGTTAACTACAGATAGAGACCCTAGAGCCCTGCAGGAACCCAGAGTCAAAGGATTAATGCCTGGTAGCCAGAAATGAGCCTGGGCCTGTTAGCTCCCCATCACTGCACCATATTCTCTGCAGATGCCTGGTGCCTCCTATCATCCAGTACATTCCACATCAGGACACAGAGGAGGCAAGCAGTAAGTGCTCCTGTCAGAGGATCTCTCTCTCTACCCTCCCCCACCCTCCGCAAGCTCAGCCAAGCCTGGAGGACAAACCACAGACACCTACAGATGAATTCCTAAAGATTTCTGCCTTAAACCTATGCCAAGCTGCAACATGCCAAACAGAGCAACAAGGATGAAGGAGGTCTTGATGTCAAGGTAGCCCAGTCATCAGGGGCCAGAGCCCAGTCTAAAGAAAACTAAGACTGATTTAAGGCAGCAGAGTCAACAAGTCATGGGTCCCAGGGCTTGGAAGTTTAAAACCAGAGTTATTTAAACAGCACCAAGGGCTGTGTTTCACTCCCGCTCACCTACTCCACTATTTAGTACCCCAAACACAAAAGCACAGAGGTTAAAGGAAAAAGTATCCCGTAAAACTCAAACCACTGCTGTGACAGCAGGAGCACACTGCATCTTCTGTCAAACGTTCAGATCATTCAAGTTCAAGGGGCTTGAATTTTGTGATATGATAGAACCAAACCTGGGTGAATCACTATACATGCTGGCAAAACACTCATATAAAAATAAGTAAAATCTTTTTAAAGATTTTGGGGCTAGGGAGATGGCTCAGTAGCTAGGAGCACTGGCTGCTCTTACAGAGGACCCAGGTTGGGTTCCCACAAGGCATCTAACAATCACCAATAATTCCAGTTCCAGGGGCTCTGACACCTTCTTCTGGTCTCTGCGGGCATTGTATATACATAGTGCACATACATCATGCAAGCAAAACACTCATACACATAACATAAATAATTTTTTTTGTCTTTTTTTGAGACAGGGTCTCCCTGTAGCCCCAGCTGGCCTGGAACTCACTCTGTAGACCAGGCTGGCCTCAAACTTAAAAAGATCCACCTGCCTCTGTCCTCCAAGTGCTGGGATTAAAGTCGTGTGCCACCATGCCAGGCTTAAAGAAGATATTTTTTAAAAGATTATTTAAAATCTTCAAACACAAACAAAACTCCAGTCATCCATAAGGACAGAGTGGAGCCTGAGGCCGCCAGGGTAAAGGGAACACAGGACAGCAGGTGACCTGACCACAGGTAGTTGGGATCCGGGATTTCCCCTGGCCACAGCTGTGCAGTTCTGTGCTCACATATGCTCAGCGCTCTCTTCATCATGTTGCAACTGCTCAGAAGATGAGGCAGACTTTGTCAAACAGGAGGGAGATTACTGGGACTTAATTTGTTTTGACAATTAACAGGAATTTATGATGAAGCAAGAAAGTACCAAAGGGAAAAAGAAAATCCAGCAGGCACTTCATAAAGAAACAAAGACTAACACTGTTTTGCACTTGTGCCATACTTTTAAAATCTGCAACCTGATGAACATTAAGGAATAAAATGCTTTGTTACTTTAGGAGACCTAAAAAAATTGTAAGGAGGCGTGCAGTGTGAAGGCTCAGCTGGTAAAGGAGCTTGCCACCAAGTTTGACGACCTGTGTTCAATCCCCAGGACTCTAATAGTGGAAGGAGAGAACCAAGTCCCACAAGATGTCCTCTGACCTCCACGTATGTGCTATGGCATACACACACATACAAGTGTACACACACACACACACACACACACACACACACAATAATAACAATAATAATAAATAAAATGTAATTTTAAAAGTTGTTCAAGGGGTTGAAGAGATGGCTCAATGGTTAAGAGCACGTGATGTTCTTGCAGAGGACCTGAGTTTCAGTCTAAGCACCTATGTGGGATGGCTCACAACTGCTTTATAACTTCGGCTCAAGGGATCCAATGCCCTCTTCTGGTTTCCTTGGGTACCCTCACTCTCATGCATATACTCTGGTGGTTTGAATGAGAAATGTTTCCCTAGGCTCAAGTATCTGAACACTTGGTTAGCTGGTGCTATTTGGAGAAGATCATGGAACATTTAGAAGGTGTGGCCCTGCTGGGGGAAGGACATTCCTGGGGATGGGCTTTGAGAATTCCTAGCCTTATCCACTTTCAGTTTTGCTCTCTCTTTGCTTTGTGTTTGCCACTGAAGATGTGGGCTCCCAGGCTTTGGCCTCTGCTGCTATGTCTCCCCAGCCATCATGGATTCCCCCTCTGGAACCACAAGCCAAAATAAACTCTTCCGTAAGTCACTTTTGGTCAAGGTATTTTATCACAGCAACAGAAAAGTAACTGATACACATACCCCCACACAGACCAATAATTAAAAATAAATCTTTTCAAGTTTTTTTTTTAATCATAGGATACTTTATCTGAAATACCCTAATTACTGACTATAACAACTTTTATTAGTTTTTCCCCCTTGATTTTGGTTGAGACAGACTCTCACTATGTGGCCCTGGTCGGCGTGAACTATGTATAATAGGCTGACCTCAAACTTGCAGACATCCTCTTGCTCTCTGAAAGCTGGCATCCTCTTCCCCTCTCTAACAGGCCACTCACTATCCTGCACTTTGTTCTCCTCACACCAAATTCACCTATGGCCTCAAGGTCTTCTCTAGAGGGGTCACCCTCACCTGCAGCTCCCTTATGGTCTCTTCTACCTGGGTGACCCTCACTTCCTTGATTCCAGTGGCTTTCTAACCTCCAGGGGACACTGACACTCAGACTCAAATGCTCAGAGTCAAAATTATTGTCTTCTCCTGGTTTCTGTTTGTGTAGGAGATTTTTATTTTATTTGCTTATCTTAAAATATTTTATTATTTTAATTTTATGTGCATGAATGTATTGCCTGCATGTGTGTAAGTATACCCATGTCATGAAATGTCTGTGGAGGTCAGAAGAGGGCACTGGATTCCCTGGAACTGGAGTTACAGACAGTTGTTTGCCACCATATGTGTGCTGGGAATCAAACTCGGTGCTCTACAAGAACAGTCTCAGTGCTCTTAACCTCTGAGCCACCTCTCCAGGCCCCGTGTAGAAGATTTAAAAAAAAAAAAAAATCCCCCCTAACACGAAGGCCACTTTTTCAAAACCCTCTTTCTTTGCTTTTTCTTTCCCCCCC